AGGGGGAGGGGAAGGGGGATTCAGGGGGGAGGTAGGGCTAGGAAAGCAATGTAACAGGAGTGGGGAGAGTGGGAGGGAACAGAGAAGGCTTCCCCTCCGCGAAGGAACATGCCAACTCTAGGTCAGAGTCCAAGAGAAAAGTGGATGATTTCTCTAGACATCAGCCCTGGGAGCCCTATGTCTCTCATACAGCACGGAAAGTAGGACTAGAGGACTTGCCAGGAGGAGACATGTAAGGAGGGGCTGGACTGAGACCCCCAGAACTTCATGTGACTCCTGAACATCTCCACCCATCACCAACGGACAGGGCCTCTCTTCCAACTCGCAGACAGGTAAAATGGAGAATTGTCCGCAGGTGTCAGGACATAGCAAGAGCAGCTCTTCCACAAGAACAAGGCCGTGGCCCCTTCAAAATGCACAAGACACCCATACTCTGCCACAACTCGCGTCACACACACATCTTACAGTCCCAGACCCAGGGTCACCCTGAAGTGTGCGGGCTGCGTGAGCAGCTGCCCAGGCCCTGGCTGGACTGACTGAGCCCAGGGTCCAGCGAGGCGCAGCCCTACCTGTGTTGCTGGTGAGGAAAGCCAGGGGGCTCTCGCTGAGGTCCACAGAGCCGTCCACGCGGTGCGGGGGACTCTCCAGCAGCTCGGCTCCTCCCTCCAGCTCAGGGTAGGTCCTCACCAGGAGGTCCAGGCAGGGCTGAGTGAGGAAATCTTTGAGCATAGATGAGTTCAGAGTACCAGCAGCACAATTATTGATCTCGAGAATCTCATCTCCCGCTTTCAGACCTGCCAACGCAAGACAGAAAATGTCTCATTTCACACACACAGAGCAACATCGGCAGCAGCAGCAAATCAAATCACAGCACCTCGGAGCTGAGAGCACACTGGGCTTTCCGGCTCTGGCCCACCCTCCTCCCCAGCTGCTGCAAACAGGCCAGAGAGCTCAGAAGCCATCACCAGTTAGGCACGTGGGCCTCAGTTTCCGAGAGTTCTAGATGGAACTTCCAGCATGTCTGTCCCGCACATACACTGATCAAATAAGTGCGCCCTTCTTGAATCTCCGTCTTCAAGGCATCTGCCAATTTCTCCTTGCAAATGCCAACTCGAGCTACTGCTCTATAGTGCTAAGGCAGGTAGAAGTGCCCGCTGATGACCATGGTATGATTTACACACCTATGCCGCAGGGCACACGTGAGCCAGTAATGGCAATCAGTCATTTCTATAAAACTGAAATGCAATGTGCTTCCTCTGGTGACCACTACGGACAATCTCCTTATTCCACACAGAGAGACAAGAGTTGACAGAACCAAATACACTCATTTTTTGTCCTTTTCGTCTTCTTTCTAACTATATCAGTTAATCTATTTGGCTAAATACCTTTTGGAAGTTCCCCAAAGGTTCTGCTAGTTTTGCAAATCAAGTAGGAGCAGGGAGGTGGTTTGCCAAATTTTGGAGCCCAAGGGAGCCATCCCGAACAAGCCCAACCTACGAGAGCAAGTGCACAATGATGCCAGGGCAGCTCAGCTGAGCATGAAAAGAACACTCCAGAAGCTTGAGAAAGGGAGACATCAGGAAAGAACTTGAATGGAAATAAAGAATCCTTTCGGCTAAGAAGGGAACAGCTCAATTCTTATTTTGTAGACTAGTGTGGAAAAACAAACTTGAAAAAAGGAAGCAAACAAAGCAAAGATAGCTGAGGAATCGCAAGAACCCAAAGCCGCCCGTCCTACTGGCTTCCAGCAGCCCCACCTCCATTTCTGCAGAAAAGTGACTCTGCAGAGACTTCTCACTTCCCAAATGCAGAGTCACAGCCCTTGGCCTTCTTTACTTGGGTTTCCAAAGTACTTGAAATTCATTTTCTATCATAAAATACTCCAAGAAACATTATGGGTGGGAAGGGAATGGAAGAGAAACGAGAATGTGTTTCTCCCGATCAGAGTCGGAATTCTGAGAATTCTTTCATTTTTATATTTTGGCATCAGAGCATTTGAATTGAAAGTAAAATTCTACATGTGAAAAATAGTTTATCTTTTAAGCCTTCCCTTGAAGACAACTCTTGGCTAGTAGAGAAGGTAACATAAGGAGAAACAGAAGAAATGTAATGACTGAAGCCATCCATGAGTTGCGTTTATTTGTTGTACTACATAAAATAGTTCCTATTACGATGGGCAAAGCAAGAGGGTGTGCAGAGTTTAACAGTGGACCCCAGAGCGACATGTCTATGTTCCAGAACCTGTCATTAGGATCTTCTCTAGAAACAGGAACTTTGGAGTTGCTGTTAAATTAAGGACTCTCAAATCATAGCGATGGATTATCTGAAGCACCCTAAACCCACTGCCAAAACCGTTGTACAAGACACACAGACGAGAAAGACAGAGAAGAGAGGAGATGTGAAGACAGAAATAGAGACTGGAGGAATGTGATCACAAGCCAAAACACCTGGGGCCGCTGGAGGCTGGAGGAGGAGAGAAAGGCCCCGCCACCCCGGAGTTCCTCAAGGGAACTTGATCTTGCTCTTTGGCCTCCAGGACAGTGAGGAAATGAATTTCAGTGGCTTTAAGCTTCCCACTTGGTGGCGGGTTTTGGTGGCGGTTTGTTACGTCTGCCCTAGCAGACTAATCAAGATGGCGACCGCGTGAGTTCTCAGAATTAATAGTGAGAGGCGGTGACCCAGCACTGGTGTCTAGGCCTCAGAGGGGTTCTGCTTTCACAGCACCATCAGCTAACAACTCTGTGGCCATGGGCCTGTCACTGAATCTCCCCACCTCGGGTCCCACACATGCGGGAGGGGTAGTGGATTAAGTGTGATGAGATGAAAGTCTCCAGGTAAGTCTGAGCAAAGCAGTTGGCAGGTTGAACCCATTCAACAGACAGTAGCTCTCCTTAAGTAACTGGAAGAAAGAGGAAAACTCCTTTTTAAATGACAAATTGCGTCCTGCTCAGAAATAATCCCCAATTGGCCAGGGCAAGAACTGTAAAGCTTCTGAGCTGGGTGCAAAAGCATGGCACACAGCTGCACCAACCGGGTTCTGGTCTGTGAACCATCCAGAAAACACTCCGATGGCGGCAAAGAAGCGGCCGCATTTTAGTCCCCAAGAGCAGAGTGAGGAAAAAGACAAGCACGTCCAAGGGGAGCAGAAGTGAAAGAAAAATGTTATCGTGTTCCAAAAGTCACTCTACAAGTGGAACCACTGAGAGCCAACCAGACGCTGAGGAGTGGGGGCAAGACAGGACGATGGGATTAACGCTCCACTCATAACACACCCAAAGTCCAAGAAGGTGAACAAAACTCAATAAAAGCCAAGTGTAGGGCCCCCTGGTGGAGCAGCAGGTTAAAGCACAGCACTAAGAAGCATGAGTTCGATCCCCGCCCCGGAGGTGACCCACATGGCGCAGCAGACCTCTCCTGACCCACCTACTGATCCCCTCAGCAGTGTACTTCATGAGTCGGCCTGTTCTGCCCCCCACCCTGTCTCTGGGGAATCCTCTCACTGCCTCTGCACCTCTGGCCTGTACCCCAGTTCTATATGCATAAATAATCTTTCCAAAAAAAAACAAACATAAGTGTAGGCTGTCAGTGGGCAAAGCAGTCTCACTAACAAGGCTGCATTCCTTCTAATGTCCCGATGGCCCCGCATTCTAGTCATTTCCAGAGACACACTGCCCCCTGGATGATCTCCAGTGGGCCATGGCCTCAGTTCTGTTCTGCACGCTCATGAATGGCTGAAGGGCTGGATGTGAAGGTCAAAAAGACAGGATGGAAGCGAATGTTGGCCAGAAGGAAGAGGAGGCAGAACAGAATGGAAGTTTCAAATCAGTTGGTCCCAAGGAGCCAGGGCCTTCTCTCCACCACAGGAGGGCCTCAGGCACATAACATGAAATGCCCAAGCACCACCCTTGGCCGGGTCGTCTACAAGGTCGGCGTTGGGATGGATATAACTGGGGCTCGGGGGTCACCGGCCATCACTCATGCATCTGTAGAGAACAGAGCTCACCAGGGGCAGGGGAGAAACTAGCAGCCACTTGGTTTTATCTAACACCTGGGTTCTTGGACTCAGAGAACTGTAACAGGATGTGCAACCAGCAGGTACATTTTCCCACCCCCGCCCCTCCCAACCCTCACACCCTAGGTGCTGTGAGCAAGATAAAATCAGGCCCAGGGTCTGCTGGGGAATTAACCCCATCGCCTCTGCTCTTAGCTGAGACGCAGCTGCAGCGAGTCTCACTCTGGCAGCAGGGCTGGCTTTGGCCTTGGAAGCATGGAAGGACAGCCCTCCACAGCAGCGAGGGGGTGAATGAGCCTGATTTGATTCCCCACTGGTCACGCTGGGCCACGCCCGCACAGCCAGGTCTGTGGGCCGCCCTGCAGCAGTGCCAGCAGCACCGGGCAGAGGTAGGGTGCAAGCCATGTGCACCCAGAACTCGGCTGCACTGAACAGGAGGTGAAATGGGCAGGTCAGCCTCCCCTGGGTGCTTGCTTCAGCAGGCCCCTGACGAACAGGCAGGAGTCTAAACACACAGAAGTGTCAGCCTTTCCACTCAGTGGGTGTTAGTTGGCCACGGGCTGAATGACACCAACCATCCCACACACAGCAAGAAGCTCCCTGGTTGTTCACCGGGAGCTTGAGGCTCAATAGTGTCCCCACCCCAAAATCCACAACCCACCCCCAAACATCAGGATAATGTGACCTTGGGCATTAGGGTCTTCACGGATCGGGGACTCAGGATGGCTCCGAAATCCCCTCCCTGGTGGTTTGACGAGAAGGCGCAAGCAGGGAAAGATGGCCACGGATGCAGAGCAGAAACCGGAGCCACAGCTTCATGCCGAGGGACACGCCACAGTGGCCGGCGTTAGGAAGACGCAGGGAACAGATGCTCCCCTCAGAGGTTCCAGAAGGGAACAACTCCGGCAAGACCCTGATTGCCAACACCCAGCCCCCTGCACTCGTGGGAGAATAAACTTGTTGCTTTTAAGCACCCAGCTTATAAGCATTTGTTATTATAGCTCTAAGAAACCAATATAGGAGGAAAGTCTTTAGGGTGAATCTTGAAAAGATTCTCTAAGAAGGAAAAAGGGGGCGTGCTGGGCTTCCTCAGGGACTTAGGCTGCAGGCGTGGCGTATCTACTGAGGTGCAGCAGAGAAAGGCTCTATAAGGGGGGCGGTGGTTGGAATGGAAGCTTTACGTTCTCATCTTCTGCACAGGGTCAACAGGCTCAGGCTATGGCCAGCGTCACCCTTGACCAGTGGAGACCAAAGCACAAGGGGTCTTCCCTGCTCCAGAAGACCCCCCTCCCCCAGACCTCCATAACTATTGTAGATGGCGGGAAAGAGTCACCCTGAAGATCAGGCTGCAATTCCCTCCTGCCCCAGGGCTCCGAATCCCACGACCTCTCTTGCACACGTGAGTCAGGGGCTCGTACCTGCAGTCACTGGAAGGGTTTTCAACAGGACAAAGTCCAGTGGCTTTAGAGTGTCACGGTTGGGGCGTCTTTCTCACCCCCCCAACTAGAGAAAGCCAGAAGGGCGGGAAGACAGACAGACAGACACACCGGCAAGTCAGTGACTTCCTTACCTTTCTTGGAAGCTAGGCCTGTCTCCTTCACACTGCTCACGTAGAGCCTTCGAACACCATCCTCTTCCACAGAAGAAAGCGAGAAGCCTGGGCCACAAAGAGACAAGGGTTGGGCTCGCAAACAACAGGAAGCATCTGCCGTGAACACGGGGTCAGCTTCTGCAGTAATGGTCCCTCCCTGTTCATCTTGCTCATGAAATGGATTAACTGTTTTTTTTAACTGCTCCAAAAGAAGTCACTGCTCCCAGAAATTACCTGTCTTCGTACAGCCTTCCTGTCAGCTCACATGGAGAATTACTTCACCTAATATCGAGAGCTGCTCAGTGTCACCTTGCCCTTGTCTCCTCCCCAGCATGAACTGCTCCTAGCTCACCTCCGCTCACCTTGTGAGTGTTGCCGGTGAACGACTCTAGGAGGTGTGTGTGATCATTTGCACAGCTCTGTGGAAACTGCTTTCTGAACAAGTCTGCAAACAGGGAAGGCTGCAGTTCACTATACACACCCCCGTGCATTCTGACTGATTTCACAACTGCCTCTTGTCTGACGCTAAGATGATCTTACTTGTTCAAGCTCCCAGAGCTCACAGCCCGTGAGCTTGTTAATCGCGGACTTTGCTACGTCCTTCAGGGAAAAAAGGTAAAATGAGGCCCCAAGTCACTAGGTGGCTTGTAGGTCTTGCTGCTCCCGACCCCACGGCTGCCAGCCCCAGTGCCCTCGAGAAGCCCCTCTGCTTCTGGGAAGTACACTCTTTTTTTTTTTTTTAAAAGATTTATTTATTATGCATACAGAACTGGGGTACAGGCCAGAGGCTCGGGGCAGTGAGAGGCTTCACCAGAGACAGAGTGGGGAGCAGAACAGGCAGATCGACGAAGTACACTGCTGAGGGGAGCAGCGGGCGGGTCAGGAGAGGTCTGCCACGCCATGTGGTCACCTCCGGGGCAGGCGGGGATCGAACTCATGCGGAAGTGGCTTTAGCTTCTCAGTGCAGTGCTTTAACCCGCTGCGCCACCAGGGAGGGCCGAAGTACACTCTTTTGTTGATGAGTCAGCGGGATGGAGCCAGGCCCGTGGCCCCTCAGGATAAAACACTGTGGCAGTTACTCCTCAAAGGACAGTGGGAAGAAATGCCATTTAAAGACCTGCCATCATCTCATCTCTGGGAGATAAGTAACTCGTGATGTAGATTTCTGTCTGCATAGGAAAAAACTGGTGTAAAAGCACAAGCAGCTACCACTACCATGTCATAACGAACATGTGGTTTCGTTTAGCTGACGGATCAGGAAACTGATGCCCACGCGTAGGCAGAACAACCAACAGCTGTCGCCCACCGCGGTGTGGTAACACCCTCTGGTGGGGAGGGGACGACACAGCAGTGTCCGGAGGACTTTCCAAGTCTTTGGTCTCGTGTTTTGATTCCATTCTTATAGGAAACTTTCAACTTTCAAATTACATTGCAAGAGGTCTCGCTCAAATAAAAAAAATTTACACTCTAAGCGACATGAGCCTTCATATAGGTGAGCTGGTCTGCCTTTCAGAAGAGAATCTGTTTCCTCTTGTTTGAAAGAACAGATACAGAATCAGGATGATGTCATCAAAAAAACATTTATTTTGTTTCAAATTCGCTACTGGTGCAACGTTAAAGTGCAGCACTGCAAGCTTGCTACAGTAGCTTCTGCACAAGTTCGATCCCGGTCCTGAAGCTGACCCACATGGCGCGGCAGACCTCTCCTGTCTCGCCCGCTGCTCCCCTCAGCAGTGTGCTTCACTGATCTGCCTGTTCTGCTCCCCTCTGTCTTTGGTGAAACTTCTCACCGCTCCTGCACCTCTAGCCTCAGTTCTGAATGCATAAATAAGTAAATCTTATACATATACATATATATATATACATATATATATACATATATAAACACACACACACACACAAATGCTACCCTAGAGAAAATTCTGAAACCGATTATTTTTTTCTGTTCAAAATGAAGTGATCACTGGGGGTAGCTGCCTAAATGGAGCTGCTAGGGACACCCTGTGCTGAGGCCTGTTGCAGGTCACCTTAAGCCAGAGTCAGCAGAGGTATCCACACGTGCATGCCTCCCTTTCTCGATCTTGCACTATTATTTTCTCTCAGTATCTCCTCTTGAGCAATTTTCAAATACACACTATAGCATTATGAACTACATCAGCACACTGTACCTGTCCGGGGCTAATTATTTTATAACCAGAAGTCTGTGGTTTTTGATTCCAAAGACAGCAGTTGTCCAGATTTCCAGATTGGAGGCTAAATCCCAGCCCAAACCCCAGCTCCTTAATGTCAGGGTTTGAGAGCTCTGACACATCCCAGGCGGACGCCTGGTGACCCCCACACCCTCTGTGTGGAAGCAGAAGCTGCTTCTATAAGAGCCGCCGTCACACACGAAAAGCAGAGCAGTGTGAGGCCCAGTTTCGACTTCGGAGCCCCAAACCCGGCAATCTGAAAGCTGGAGCCCGGGAGCTTTGCCACGCCGCCGGCCCTTGCTGTCTGCCGCAGTGTAGACTTGCACAACAGAAAGTTAGTCAATTAAAGAGAAGAGGATCCTCGGCGGGGAGCACGGGGCTCTGGGGGACCAGACACTGGTTCACAGCACTGCTCCGGGACCACAGTTAATTACTCAGTTAATTACTCAGGTCACATAACAAGCCTTTGGGAAACATCTACCCTGTGCCATCAAATCAGTTTTAAGGTCAAGAAGTAAAGAGCAGGCAGGTGGAATGCAAGTGGGCAGGAGTTCAAAATCAGGGTCTCTCTATCGCCAAGAGAAGCTTCATGAGCTTTCTCAGATGGAGAATGAGCTGCAGGGAGGTGGGAATGGGCTGGGCTGGGGGAGCAGGGTGCGGAGGGAGGGAGAGGGGCTGCAGATACAAAAATTAAGACTGGTCAGAGAGCCCTCCTCTGGGAGACTGGGTTTGCCACCAGCCACCCAGTGCCCCTTCCGGGCCGGTGGCATGTAGCACCCTGGGCCCCTTCAGACAGGGCTTCCTGTGAGCTGCTTTGGACAGTGATTTGGGAAGGAGCCCCCCACCCACTCCGCCTCTTCCCCCTTTCCCTCTGCCGGAGACAGGCAGAGAGGGCCCCGGGGGCGGCCACCTTCCCCGGAGCTCCAAGCCCGCCACCCCACAGAGGGTGTGGCTGGACGGGGAGACGCGTCTCCTGCTGGACTCCAGCCACCGAGCTCTGGCGGCTGACACTGCCTCAGCTGACCTCACCCTGACTGTTGGGGCTCCATACGCAGCCCCCAGGAATGGAGTGGGCTCTCTCCGGCGCTCTCCCGGCCACACAGGGCAGCAACATGAGGGAGAGTGGTGGAAACGCAGGGAGAGATAGGAGGGATCCTACACGTGGGCCCGCCAGGACAGAGCCGCCTGCGCCAGGAGCGTGAACAAAACAGCCCAGCGGAACATCGCTCCTCCTGGAGACACGGGCATCCAAGGCTGGCCCCTAGCTGGCATCTGAAACGGGCTGGGGGAAGGTTCCCAGCACCCTAAAGTGCTCAGTTCAGTCTAAACTGTGGGTGTAAAGCATGTGGTAATGCTGAGCTCCTGCCTGCCTCAGGGGAGTCTGGAACTTTGGTGCATGTGACACAGAGGTGCCTGCCTGGCTAGACCCCCACAAAGCCCCAGGCACTGGATCTCACCAAACTGCCCCACTGGACAGTGTTTCAGAGACTGTCGTCGTCACGGCTTGCTGCTGAGGAATTACGTCTGAGGCAAGAGGTGGGGACATGCCTCTCGGAAGTGCCTCCTGTCTCAATACTCATTCTTCCCAACTAATGCTGTCTGTGTCATTTCACTGTAATAAACCACAGTTCTGAATATGACTGCAGGCTGAGTCCTGTCTGCCTTCAGTGAGTCGGCAAACCTGGGGTGATCCTGGATACCCCCAATGCAACACTGAAATAAGCCTGTGTAACATTTTTGTGGGGGAAGGTAGAATGGGGCATCCACTTGAGGCCAGGGGTGTGAAAGGCGGGTGTTTTCACTACCAGAGTACTCGCGTTATAAACTACGATAGTCCCAACACCCTCATCTCCCTTTAGGATCGCAGAAGTCCCGTGGTCAAAGCTGGGAAATTTAGTCGAAGTTGCCACTGTGTCCACACTAGATCTCATTCTCTCCTACTGCAGATTTCAGCACAGCACAGAAGCCAGATGTGTCACCTGCTTTAAACAGGCACCAGAGGCAGTTTGTGGAATGGTAAATAAGAACATGTTTATACAGGAATTGCTTTGACTTGAAAAATACCAAAGATCAAAGAAAAATCAACGTACCATAATTATCACCGGCTGTGTCTGACTTCTCAATCTGGATGCTCTGAGTGACTTTTGGACAAATTTCAATTTCTTTGTACAGCTGGAAATTACAAAGAGGAGTCTAATTATGATTTCATTATAAACAAGTTATTAGAAAGAGTCATCATTTTGCACATCTATTTTTTCGCAATTGATTCTGGAACGCCAAACGCTCATCACATCCCAGTCTTTTCACTGAACCGAATCTATGAAGAGTCAAAGTGGAAGCTGAGAAGTCATCTTCCTTTGCTCTGCTTGAGGAGTTCTAGGGCTCAGTTATACCTCAGCACCACTCGGTTCGTCCTTTGCTGCCCTGGCGCTCTTGCAGACCTGGAGGTCATGCTTAGACAGTCATCAAAAGTCTTCAGTAGTGGGGGAAAGTAAAGTATTAAAATCAAGACGGTCACAGAGATATTGGTATGGATGCGTGGAGAGGTCGAATCTCTCTGCCGTCCACACACTGTCTCTGCCCAAAACCCACCCCTGGGCAAGCAGGAAGAGACAAAGGGTAACACTGAAAACGTAACAAATTACATCAGTGGAGAATATTCTTTGTTAACAATCAAATTAGAAAAGTTCAAGGACTTAAATGAATCAACTCTCTAGAACCCTCCAAAATGCCAGAGAAACATGTAATTCAGCGATCAGAAATTTTATTTCATCGATGTTCTTCATATCTGGAATCATCCTTCTCACAGGCAATTATATAATGAAGGTTGTACCACACGTTTGCCCTTCACACTCATGCTATTGAAGACAACTGTGACCCCCATTTTACAAGGTCGGAGAGAAGCACTTCCCTGGGGTCATAAAGCCAGCACGGGGCAGCCCTGGAATCTGAACCCAGGATTTGTGGCTCAGAGCAGAAGTTGTGTACACCAAATAAAATGCACTCCAAGCTGCCTCCAGGTGGAACTGACAGGCACAAAGTAAAAGAAAATGACATCTTAGGTAAGCAACAAGCCACTTCCAAAATATATCATAAAATTGCCAAAACAGATAAATGTGTCCGCAGCTCATATGGAATTCAAAAACATCACTGAATTTCAAATGAAAATCTACTTTGAGCCAAGGTCAAAAATAGAAAGCTGTGTTTTTCATGACAATCTAAGCTCACCCCCATCTCTGCCCACACAGCCATCTTCTCCCAGCAGTTTAGCGGGGCAGGTAATGGCCTCTTCCTCTTCTCCTGCTCAGGACGGCAGTCAGGAGGCAAGGGAGAGCATCGTGCTCAGGATTGTGGAGCCAAGAAAACAGGCTGCAGGACAGGAGTAGGAACTTGAACGCCCACCCCAGAACACCCTAGTTAAATGCAATGTCTGCCGAATGTACAATAATAATACGGTAACGGTATAACCTGAAAGTGATTTTCTTTTCATACCTCTGAAAAGTTTTCGGACAAACAAATTCTGAAATCAGGAGAAATCAATTATAGCACTGGTCCTCAACTCAAAAAAGTGTCCCAAATTATAAACACCAAATAGAATGAGGCTCGTGCTGTGTGTCCCGCGGAAAGGCCGGCAGCCTGATTTGGGCCTTCGTGTTTATTGTTAATTTCGTGCAGAGCCACACTGCGCCCCTAGGTGGCAGTACAACACTATTTTATTCGCCTCTGGAAAAGAAAAGTTCAAAGTTCCAAAGGAAATGGCATCTTGTGAAGAATCTTTCCTATTCAAGGCTCCCATCTCTTACTTTTTTGGTAATTGGTGTGAAAGTCTTTATGTTTTATACTGTCTCAGTATAATACAGGTATGCCACTGGGCCACAGTCCTTTCTTCAGCTGGTGAGACTAAGACTGAGGTTAGAAAAAAAATGCACTAATAAAAAATACGCCTGGTGGCCCAACGGGTTAGGGGCTCCACACTGCAAGCTAGCTGCAGCCTCTTCGATGCGAGTTCGATCCCCGCCCTGGGAGCTGACCCACATGGCGCAGTAGTCCTCTCCTGTCTTCCCGCTGCTCCCCTCAGCAGTGTACTTCATCAATCTGCCTGTTCTGCTCCCCACTGTATCTCTGGTGAATCTTCTCACCACCCCGCCACCTCTGACCTGTATTCTGGTTCTGTATGCATAAATAAATAAATCTTTTTAAAAAAGTACAAAATTTCAAGAAGGGTCTGTGCTTTAAAATGTATTTCCATGGCAACCACTGTATCCAAAACCAGAAATTTTGAGATGTAGTAGTTTTATACCTAAGCATTTTTAACAAAGTGCCTTACACATTTCATTTATTTTATTAAGTCAGAGATGTTGCATGTCTTCCCTCGTTTAAAAAAAAAAAAAAAGATAAAAGATCATCAAACTTTAAGAAACAGTTTGATTACCCAGGCCCTTGAGTTATCAGGAAACTACGATCATTTCTTCGATCATTTCTTGCCATGTCTCCCCTGGAGGCCCTGCTCCTGCAGCCGAGGCCCACTGCCTAAGTGACAGCTCAGCAGGCTCGGGCCCCCAGGCCCCTCTGTGTCTCAGCGGCACATCAGCACCTGTACAGCACACACCCAACACTGTCCCCCTCCCTGGATTTCTCTTCTCTTGTGACCTGCCCTGCCTGCCTTTGTCTCCTTCCTCCACCACTTACCCTGCACATTAATCCTAGTCACATCCCACAAGCACACCCCCCACAGACACACCACACACCCCAACAAACAGACACACCAATCATATACACCAGACACACCAACACACACACACACACACACACACACACACACACACGTCAGTCACCTTCCTCTGCCAGGGCCTACGCAGCCTCTTCCTCTGAAACGCCTCTATGACTCACTCTAACGTTACTCACCCACCCCCCTGTTGAAACACCACCTGTAAAAGAGCAACACCCACTTCCGATGCCTCTCTGCCCTAACTCTTTCTGATATATCACATTTATATGCTCTTCAAAAATGTTTTCCAAATATAAAAAAATATATGTTTTATACATGTGGATTTGTTCTGCCAACGTGAATGTCACCTCAATAAGCGGCAACAATTTTTGTGTGCCTCTGAAGGCCAAGAACGGCTAGAATGAAACCAGGCACACACAAAAAGAGCTAAATAAATAACTGCTGTGTGAATGAGTAAATCAATCCACTGTGTTTCTGCAAAGTATTCCTGGCACTTTAAGAAAGTCACAATTAATGTGAATTTTTGAAAAGCCAGGGCCCATATTCATTATCCTGCCATAAACTAAACCCAGCCACCAAGTAATGATGGAAAAGTAACCCAACAGGTATCACTTCTATTGAAACATAACCAAGGAGGCCCACTGGCCACGGAAGGGCGGGCTAGCGCCCGGCCCTCAGGGGACAGTGAAGCGGTAACAACTGATCAGCCAAGAACATTCTTTGCACAAGTAGAAAGGGTTTTCTTCCCCCACTGCAAGGGCCACGAAGTTACAGCTTATGTCCACACCAGCGAGAAATGAAATCGCCAGTGTCTGGTGAACGTTCCCTCCTCTGACAAGACTTTGTTTTAAATGACGATGGAGCAAAGTCTCGTCATTTTGACCTTCTATGGCCGAGAGGACAAAAGTGTGACAGAAATGCCCCTTTTCTCCTGTTCCCTAAAATACTTGAAGAGCCATCGGAGGTCACCGAGGGTGACATCCCGTTCTGCATGATGAATATTGTGCTGGAACTGGAACTGTGAATGCTTATCAGAACTCATCGAACGAAGTGCTTAAAGCGGTGCGTTTTACTCACCCTCAAGGAAATCTCAGAAACATTGATTAAAAACAAATTCTCTACTGCATCTGCGATCACTATTTCCCTTTTTCAAAAAGAAAATATTGGCATTTCAAGTGTCAGTTCTGCTTGCTGCAGGTCTGACGTCACACTGCTATCCTTCACATCTCCATGGCAACGGGCTCTGAGGCCCCCAGAGGAATCACAGGAGCGGACAAGAACTAACTCTGAGAGAGGCTCCTTGCCCCCAGGGTTTCTTTCCTGGAGCCCCGTTCTGCCCCAGCGCCGGATGCTGAAGGAACCTGGCAGTGCTTTATTCCCACCACCACCGTTTATTGAGCATCTACTTTATGCACTGTACAAATCTTCGCAAAACCTTGAAATGAAGTATCACCTGTTTTGTTTTTTGGCCAGCCTAATAAGCAGGTTCTCGTCTCTACTACCATGAGCAAGTCCCATAAAGGAACGCAGACTTACCCCTGTGCCTCCAACTTCAAGACTCACAATCAATATAGCTCTGGAATCAGAGGCCAGCGGGCTCCCCCACCCTGCAGGGCACAGCCACATCTAATCATAGATAGTGCTTTTTCCCTGGCCAGAGCCATGATCTTTGTGCTGGAATACAAAGACCAAAAGCAGCAAGGAAACAGTAACTAGCATTCTGAGCGTCCGCTCGGGTTTCAGTTCTTCTGGCCCATGGAGTGTGGCTCCTTGCCTCAGCAGACACAGCACTGCCACCCTGAGGAAATACTCCAAACGAGCATGCCCTCTCCACCAGAGAAGGCAGGACCCCGCAGAACGAGGCCCATTCGCTTCAGAATCCACTCCACCAGCCACCAGCACACACACACACACAAACATATCATTTATAAATAATCTCCCCCGGCATGAACCTGGACAATAGCCCCAAACATTACCAGCTCATAAATGTCCTCCTCGGGCTTGGGAATGTAGTCTTGCATTTTGTTTTCTATCAGAAATTTCAGGCGCAGGTAATGAGTAGAGGGATCCAGCTGGTGTGTCTGAGACAAGAAAAGAAAGGACATGTCTGTTCAATAGCAAATAGCAACAGCAGCAAACATTTTGAGATCACTGCATTATCACAGTGGAGTTTTGGTACTGGCAACGGTGTGAGGCTTCTCAAAAGATTTATACCCCAAACTGAAATTTGAAACTGATTTTCACTGAACATACTGATAATATTTGCCCACCCCCACCCTTCCCCGAGTATCTTTTGATTCAATGCCAACAGCTAAATCTCTTCTTCACTGCCGCTCAAGCTCACTTGACACCTTATTCTCTTTCGCTGGACTTTGCATCAACACCCATCAGAGCAAAGAGGCCCAAACATAACATAGGTGGCTGCAGGGAACGGACCCAGCAAGACAAGATAGTATACTGCAAGTGAGAAAAAACAGCTGTGTCCAGGCCCAGCTGCTTGTACAGCCACACAGGGACTCTGGGACAGTTGTTAACAGCTCATTTGCAAGCGAGTTGGTGTGAAAACTAAGCATTTGGATGTCAGTCTTATTTACATACACCCAAGTGAGCCTCTCTCTGGCTGCGGTGTAGACAGGCAAAGGTCCAACTTGGGAAACACACTGAATGACTTCCCCAAAGAAAACAACTCTAAAATAGTTACAGATTCAAATTTCCAGGCTTTCTTCCTTGGCCCAGGATGGGTCAACTGACTTTTTCATTGGTGAAAAAGCAACAGGCAATACAGTTTCATAAACAATGATATCCAAGATGATACAAAGGAAAGAGTAAGAAAATGCTTCTCAAAAGTTACTTGGCAACCCAGAAAAGGTCCTGGTAGACAGAAAATGTTTAAATCCAGTCACTTTTCAAAAGCATCCTTATCTTTCAGAGATTCATCCAAAAGTACTAACAGAGAAAGAAATACTATGTGGAATTTGGCTCCAAAATAATCCAGGGCGAGGGAGGTGGGGAGTATGAGTGACTGAGGAGCTGAAACATGGTCTGATAGTCACAGACTCTTAATGACGGCTATACAGGACATTCATTACTACATTCTTCTCTACTCTTTTATGGCTGACATTTCTCATAAACTTAATATAAAATCCCTTCATACCAATGTATCTACTGAAGAAAATTATTTCAAAATAAGTGAAATTAACTTTTCACTGCTTTAATATTCTTTCTATCTACCTTACCTAAAAAAAAGCACACTTTAAGGTCAAACTCAGAAGAGTCCAATAATTATTCTGATAACATCTCAGAAACTCTGGAGCAAGCCAGAGCCTGTGAGGCACAGTGATTCTAGAAATTCATAAAACCTAAATGCTATCAGAAATGTGACTGGGGAAACAGGTGGGGGCAGCAAGTGGGAGCTGGGGTGGTAGTGGTTTTGCTTTTTCAATAAATAGAACTGCAAGAGAGGCCTCCTGCATTATTCCAAAATCCATTTCCAGAAAGTGGAAATGAGATCCTGCTGAAGGAGCAGAGACGTTTTCTAAGGGTGACTCTTGGGAGCCCCCGGCCTCTTCTTCTCCCAGGGTGTCTGCAGCCCAAACCACCTCCCCTCCCCTCCCACTCCCCCACCCCCCCACTGGAGACCAAACGCCCAGCATGACAGACCCAGACTGTTGATGATAAAAAGTTGAAGGGGTGAAGCCAGGGAGAGAGCCCACAGGGAGTCTTTCAAGTGTGCTACCCACCGGTGGTGGGAAAGCCTCTGAGACAAACAAACAACGTAATATTTAGGGTGATGTGGTAAACAAGAAAAGTTTCCCTCACAGAGAGAGGCTGCACATGCTTCCCACCTACCCAGGTCCTCCTTGAGATATTTAATTAGAAGCAAAGACTTTTGGTTCCCCATCTGTTTCTGACTGGGGAGGGGGAGAAAGAACTGAGACTTCGCGGGGGCTGGGTTCACAGGAACAAATCCACTTGGAAACCTCTGCGTCATCATCAATAAACACCCTACGGACATTCCCAGAGAGGCTGCCACAGAAACGGGCTTCTGGAAAGCAGGCCCCCAGAGCAGCCTCACCTAGAAGCTTCTGGTCCTGAAACCTATGCTCGTGTGAGAGAAGGTTTCTCCTCAGGCACCACAGCTCCTGACGGGCACATGGAGACTCTCCTCACCTCTTACAGGCCACAGTGCCAAGAACACTCTCACACGATGGGGGACAGACAGCGGCCCCCAGTAAGGGAGGTTCCACCCGCTTTTTGAATTGCTCTAAGTTCTGGAGAACTTTGTAACGTACAAATAAGCACATGCCAGAAACATTAAAACTTGTAACCCAGGAGCCCTCAACTTGGCCAGTAGTCACCCTAAAAACAGGAGTGGGATGCAGATGCCAGAGTGTCTTCTCATTAGGGGAAATGTTTCTTAATCATGAGCCCTTATTCACCAGGGCTGTTCTATCCAAAGAGAGAATCCTAAGAATTAGCTACGATCATGACACTCTCCAGAAGAATTTCATGCTCCTCAGTATCTGCAGTTATGATCGAAGTAGGTGGAACAAGTTACCTGGTTCACAAAGTATGTTTGTGCTAAAGAGCGCCAAACGTGAACGAGTATTTTAATATAGTAGTTCTAAACAGCTGGCCTACTTTATACATGTGAAACATTCCGGAGAAAGTTTCCTAACTCCAGGGAAACTCGGGAAAGAACTTAAAGGGTACAAATGTATTTGCCACGGAACACTGACTGAAGTTACTTCGAGAACATCTGATTCATTTCGAGACAATGCAGCTGCAAATCGTACCCAGATAAATGTAACTGTAGCATGAGTTTCAGTTTAGTCAGCATATATATATATTTTTTAATTCTCATCTTCAAAGGGTGAAACAGCAAAATACAATATAGATATTTTCACTCAGTCACTTGAGCCCATTAAAGAGAGGTCAACACAGCCTGCCAAGCAATCATTCATGTTTTGCTCTCCACCCTCCTGTCTCATTTTCCCCTTTCAGGCAAACTTCTCAGGGACACAAAAAAACGTGCAGTTATCACATACACAAGTCCATGCACACACACAGAACAACTCCGCAGAATTTGCGAAGCTGCTTACTCTCCCCTTCAAGGTGACCGCTCATTGTGTTAAATGACAGTGGTTGTTATGGTCGAAAGCCTACAGCCAACATCGTGAACACAGGAAATGCAATTGAGCCCATGGCCAGAGTGAGGAATACCAGGCAGTGTGAATGAACGGGTTTTGTTCATACTTATTTTAAACAAATGCAATGATCAGAAACAGCACAGATTCTACACCAACCAACACGGTCACCCGCTGTAATTAACAAGTCATTCTTGTAACACCCACAACATGAATTGTACATGAAATGTAGATGCTGAAACATTTACTATACCAGGACTTGAGTGATGCTCGGATGGCAGATGGCAAACTGATGTGAAATGATGTGGAGCAGAGAGAATAGGAAAGAGAGTGAGCTGAATGCAAGAGACAGAAGAAAGAGATTGATTATTAAATATTAGAGAAAACATCCATCACCAATGTCAGGAAGGACAATAAAGGAGTAAAAGACAGACATTCTGACAGTCACCTTTGTTTTCCAGCCCCGCCCCCCCAAAAGAGAAAAAAACCACTCACCATTAATTAGATCATTAGTAACATGTGGTACTGTGTTCTCCATTATCCCTTTCCCTCTTAAGAATAAAACTGGCTCCGCTAATTACAATAACGTGTTTTCCAAAGAAGCAGCCTGCTCTAGAAGGCACCTGGCTCTTAGCATACTATGTAATTTATCCTACACGGATGCTTTTCCAGAGACCATCAATTTCTTAAAGTGCACCCGGAACTTTTCCATTTTTAAACTCACGAGACGTAAGCTTGCATCACACCATATTGTTCTTGTCTTTATTCTATATTTTGGGAGAAAGAAGTAAGGATCCAGGGAAATCTGGGTGGGATGAACTTCGTTAAAGGAAGGGGTGTGCCCTGATGCTGCCTTCAAAAGCTTTCAAATGACAGAAATAAACACTTTGTAGGAGAACAGGACAAGCTCAGGATTGAAAAAGGTTCTGTATGTTACAGGCACAGTACTAGTCCCTAGTCCCTGAGTGCCCCTCAGAGAAAGCTTAACAGTATCTAAAGTGGGGGAATCACTGGTTTCCCCACTCACTGTTCAATTTTCCAGCCATCAGTGACTATTGGAATATACCAGTCACCCCTTCCCTTCCTGATCGCTTCTGGGGCCAATGTATACAGCAGGTTCCAAAGCAATGCTAACCCCTAGAGGCATCAGAGTTTGGTTTATCTAAAAAAGGCCAGAGTCCTACTTCTGACACCTTCAGCTGCAGTTCTGAGAATAACTCCCACAGTTCTGCGGAATATTAATGGGTCTCTAAAGAATCGTGCTGATCTATAAATAAAAGAATGCAGAAATCCTCAATAGACCAATTTTGCTAAGTAATTAAAATGAAAAATGTGAACAGAAATACCATTATCTTCCAAAAGCTAGAAGTCACACCCATGAAGGGGAAAGAGCATGAAATGGTATATCATTTATTTTTAACAACTTTGTGGGAGCTGATTTTTATCTTTGACCTGAAACAAATGGCCTTTCTCCTTTTTCTCCACATAAGACTATCTGAAAAGGCTCATTTGGGCCAGATTATTCCAGGCCCCCACTCACAAAGTCATATCTTTCCTCAACAGAGGCGCTTGTGATTGGGGGTGGGGGTGGGGGGGAGAGAGAAGTAAAATTGCTGATGGTAGACTTACAAAGGGAGGGACTTGCTGAGGTAGTGAAAGTGATTCGGGATGTATAAGCCACTGTGTAGACTGAGAAGGTCTTCAAAACTACAGTGGAGCCCTCCAGCAACTTCTAGGGTGATACGATGTTAGAAGTTGTCCATTTCCCATTAGGGGCCCAAAGAAAGGCCATTTCATTACTCTAAGAAAACATTCTGGATTCTTCCAAACTTGACAGATTGTCCTTTGAGGGTACCTGGCCCAGCTTCTGGCAGTTCTGTGACCAGGTTCCAACCAGTGGGGGGAAATCACAGGTCTGGAGAAGCCACAAGTGGGCTCCCCAAACTGTGAGGTGAACTCAGTCAAGGAACGTAAGCCTCCGGAGCTCCACTTGCCCCATGGCAGTGTCTGCCCACCTCGGCTTGGGACTGACCACTCAGCACAACGATTTCAGTGCTTACCTAGCTGAAAGTAGCAGCTGCTATGCAAGAAGTTTCCTGCTTCCTGCACTCAAGGTCAGGCAGGCCTCTAGCACCTTTTCACAGTGGGGGGGAAAAAATGAAACCAGGTTCATCTTGAAAAAAGATCAAGATATCTCTGCAGCTTAAGGTGGAAAAAAGTAGGGGAAGGGAGCATAACCATCTGTCAACAAAATAGACAGATATGTAAGAATCTAATGACTTTTCAAGGGAAAAAGTCCTGTCATGGAGGTCAAGTGTATCTACTTCACTTCTTCCCGACCCTCAGGACGCCCGTGCTGTTCCAGTCGCTGCTGAACTGCAGGTGACAGACGTCAGAGGCGGGAACACCCAAATGCTTAACGGGGGATTCTAGATTAGGTGCAGACGGCCTCCATTTTGGGCTTTATTTTTGACCCAAATTGCCAAAACCTTTTGCTAGGGGCATGAAATATGCCTACTACAACTCTATCAAACACACCAACAGAAAGATGCTAGATACTACTCAAAGCAGCCCCTTGCCACCCAACGTGGTGAATTCACACGCATGCGCTACACTCAGCATCATGCAGGAGCCCCAAGCGCTCAGAGCTGCTTGGCAGGGCAGAGTAGTGCCCACTTCTCCCGCTCGCCTCAGGATCCTGTGTGCCCTGCCCCTTCCCCACCACCCCTTCTGCTCTTCTCCAGAAACACCGCAGAACCTCCTACCTTGCAGATGAGCTCCAGAGTGTCCCGAGCCGTGTCTCCTGGCCGGACGACCGTCAGAGCTGGCTGGTCATTGGGCAGACAGAACCAGGACGGAGTGAAATACTCATGGACCCAAATGTCACAGTCAGGATTGTGCTGGTGGACGCTCGGCAAGACCATTTCCTTTTCCCTCTGTAACAGGAAATCAAGTGAGCAGAGCAGCTACCTCTGGTATTAAGCCACGACAGAGCCCCAGCTTGTCCTAGTGGTTAAGTGGTCTCATGAAAAGGGTCTTGGGCAGAAATGGAAGCAGAAGTGGAGGGCAGAAGGGAACCTCAAGACAGAGGAAGGCTTATTTGTGAGCGGGCTGGGGGAAGATTTCTGACCTCAAATACAAGAGAGACCCCACATCCACAGGTGGGTATGGCACGAATGAGTGGGAGGAAAACTTGGGGGTTGGGGAAGAGTGAGAGAGACAGAGAAAGGGAACATCCATTCAGCTCAGTCTTGCCACAGAATGTCTTTCACCTGCTTCAAATTTAGAGCCACGAATTCGTATGGCATGAAAACCTGCCATGTCAATTCTGTTTCAAAGACAATGATGAGGCCTCGAAGAAAAGGTGCCAGGAGATGAGGCTGGCACTGCCGGTTCACAAGGGGCATCACCTGAATGCCACGTGGAAAAGAGGTAAAGACAGAAACACCTCCATTTTCCAGATGAGGTCCAGAAAAAGTCAAGGATGAACTTTATGGACAAAACCAGCCTCTTAACTGGTGCCTGAGGTGGGGGACTGATACCAGGTTTGAAAGGGCGGCAGGAGACTTCTGGAATGTTGGCGCTTGGCATCTGAATTACAGCTAAGCAATTATATGGCTACTGTAGAAAAACACCCGATAGAGACCTGAAATAACAGGGACTCCATTTCTTTCCAGTAAGCTAAGAAAAAATTCTGCAGGACTCTGAGAATGTCAAAATAATGTTGGTGCTCCATGAATGCTAATAAGCCTAGATTATTGGCTATAATCAGGCTGTGGATTAATAACTATATATCTGTATATTACCAAGGGCAAAGCTGGTATCAGGAAATTACAAGAAGAAACTGTCTCCAAACTCAGGCTAAGAGATGACAATATGACAACTTGCACACATAAAGACAATGGGTCCCAGAGCGGGGCAGTATTTTTGTAACGGCCTTAAACTAAGTTCAATTGAGGAAAACAATTTCAGTTCTGCCTTTCAGTGCTGTTGATTTTGCAGACAAATTGAACCCCAGGGAAGGAATTGTCACAAAGCAATCAACTTGCTTAAATCCCATTAACTAGAATTGGAATCGTCCCACTCTGCCCCCACGTGCAATGTTAAATAAGTGCCCCTTAGCCCTGGCTCAAGCCAAGTTTTACGTATAAACTGCTCTTTGAGAACACAGACTCCAGCCAAGATCTGGGGTAAAGAGGAACTTACAAGAATGGAAAAAGGAAAAACAGGGACACAAATACAGTGAGAAAGCATTTGCAGTTCCCGCGACTGTGTGTTCAGATAAGATACCCCATGTTATGTGAGTAATAGGATGGTTTCGAGAGGAATTAGCCCACTTGGGCAAAGGTGACGCAAACATTACAACTCTGGGCTACAGCTAGAACAGCAAGGTGAGGACCCCTTCATCGGAGCCTGAGCTGGAGGCTCCAGTGGGGAGACACGGTGACAGCGGCCCCCCATCTGGGATGGGGGGCATGGCCCGATCCAGAAGCGACTCGCACACAAGTGAGAAGGGCCAGCCTCCTCACCCCACAGTCCTGTGGCATCAGGGGCTGAGGACTGTGGGGCTGGGCCGCTCTGACCCGGCAGCCTCGCGACCAGGCCAGAGCTGTCCTATCGATTCTGAGTCCCAGAGCCAAGATCATATCAAGGTCATGTTATCAGCACCCATAACTCCCTGAACAAAGAGGCTGTGGGGTCCCTATTAGGGCCTTTAAAACTAGAGAGATCCATTTATTTAGAGACTGAAAAAAAGTACCCTAGAAAAATCAATATTCTGTATGAGCTCTCAATCAGAACAGTTTGAAAGACCCTCTTAAATCCAAGTACAAGGTTGCACGGAGCCTGTGAATCTTTTAATTGAATACTTGTCTTAGATGTGAAGTGCATTTTTTTAAAGAACATACATGGAGAACAGTTCTTTGAAATGAATGGGACCAAAACAGCACCAGAGGCCAAGAGGGAAGGCAAGAAGAATTTGCCTCTTGGGGATAGAAATTGTAGATAAAAGGGATTAGCAGTGGCATAAAATATTCAGCTACTCAGAATCCAAGTTTCCTCTTAAATTCTAGATGGAAACTTCTACCTTCAGTGACAGGATTGAAAATATTATGTCAGCAGGAGAATGTTCTTCTTGTTAGCAAGTTTTGAACAGAAAACGCTTTTCCATTTCTTCCTGACCTGTTACATAACTTTCGCAAGCTGATCATTTCAGTTTCTAATACTGAGTCTACTTAATTTTAGGAGCCTGAGAAACCATTGCATTGTGTAACGTTGATGCATTTAGAAAGAGAACATGTGTTATTTTTACCTTGCCATCTGGAACAGTGTCATCAAATATTCCCTCTAAAGATTTCTTTACAGCGTCAGTCCCCTCACCGAACACCTGCATATACAAAGGATCATCTTAAAAGGAATCTGGGCAAAAGGGCAAATGAAGCATGAGGGGGAGGCGGCGAAAATGACATAGCTGTTACAAAACATTACTGGGCAGATACCCCCACCTCAAATCCCAAAGCAGGTAGAAGAGTCTAGAGTGGCAGATCATTAGAAACAGGGTCCTCCACCAAGCTCCCTGCTCATGTCTTTGACAATTAAAAAAAAAGCTAGTTTTTAGATGTGCATCACTCATCTAAATTTAAAGAAAAGAAGCTTATCAAAGCAATGAACTAGATTTATTCTTAATAATAAAGAATTGTTATAGGCTCATTTACCTCATCAGACATCTATCAATACTAACTAGTTTTGACTTTATAATCTGCAGAGTATCAATTGGTAACATACATGTATCAGTTTTTATTGCAGAAAAGTTTTTTTATCCAAAAACAGAAATTTGCCAAATCCTCAATATTTAATAAATATGCTAAGGTATAGATGGGACTAGAGTTGGAATCGGGTACGGACACCAACAGGCAGTCAAAACCTAAACATGCCACCGTGGGAAAAGCACGTGCTACCGCTAAACAACGCATGTTCCAGCAGGATGATATTCCCAATTAAGAAAAAGCCTTTTTCCTGCACAAATGAAAGCTACAGAAACATACAGTTTTTGTCCATTTTGAAGTACTGAATCAACGAGTAAATTTCTACTGGTCCGCAGATGGCCAAGCAAGATATATTGGAAACTGTTTTTAATTGGGGTAACGCTCGTTTACAACACTGTATAGGCTTCAGATCTGCAGTTTCTCACCTCAGTAACTATCGGCTTCACACCACGCCCACTGCCACATGCCCAGACACCAACCAGTGGGCTCCCTTCGTCCCCCCTCCCCGTCCCTGGTAACCACCATTCTGGTGTCGGAGTTTAAAGCTTATGAAATTCTTACTTTAAGAGGGAATGAGCGCTTCTGCTTATAATACACGACAATGTCCTATGGTTAAAAAAAAAAAATTTTTTTTATTAAGTCTCTTCTGGATTCATTTAAGCTCAGCCATCTATCAACGAGCTGTCATAAAACCTGGGCCAATAAAAGAGACCCACATGAACTAAGCGATCTGATAGAAAGCTTGGTTCAATCTAAGTTGCCAACTGCAAAGTCCTGACACATACTTATAGCCAAGGCAAAGGACATGTATAAAAGCACAGCCCACAGCCCAGAAGGAGAGGGGAGAAGCCGTTGGGTCGCGCCCTCCTTTGCGGGTTCGATCCAGAGGAGCAAGTGTGATTTCTTCCTGATGAAACACTAACTTTCCTGCAAACGCTTTCTCCTTCAGATTTACACAAAGCAAAGCCACAGCTGCACATGGAGCTTCTGCTCTCCCCTAAGACCGAGAACAGACAAGGAGGCTCAGTCACAGGCTCCCTCATCTGCTCATCTGCTCTCCTGCAAGCCCAGGTGGACGTGGCGAGCACACTGGTCAGCGAGGACTCAGTGCATCAGATTTCGGGATTCGTTTCCCTTTGAATTTTCAGTTCATAAGCAAAGTGAGGGCTGGCGCTGCCATAACAAATAATGAGGCATCTGTTAAGTCTACAATCAACTTCTCACTCTGCGTCAGGACACAGTCAAATGTGCCATCTCAGTCCTGACCTCCAACTAGCTCACATTCTGGCCAGGTGGCTGCTGGACAGGGGTTCCCCTTCTCCTGGGAGACCAACACCCATGTTCCTTCAGTTCCTAAAACATATAAGCAGCCCTACAGACGTGCATTTCTCAAAGTCAAATAAAAATGACTGCAGTGACTGCAAAACCTCTTCCAGAAGTATTCATGCGAACAAGAGAGTAAAATGAATGACGTCACAGCCGTTAGCAGGACCCGGACATTGCCCACTTAGAGGGTGCCATTCATGTCCTAAGGTCCCTTCAGGCCCTACTATCTGGGCAGAAGGGAGCCATGAGCATGAAATGAGCGAGCACTCTCAGACTCCAGGTGCAGAGGAACTGCCCTTTTAATGCCAACCCCAAATGAATCAAGGGCAAAGAAACAGCCAGATTTCCCTGGAGGCTGCCTTTGATCCAGCGCCAGAGGCAGCTTAAAAGACTGTTCAGGTGCTCACTTGGAGTCACCATTAAGCTCTGCTTTTTTCTGTAGACTCTGGGATGAATTGTGCACTTTCAGAAAGTCTGTCATTAACCAAAGGTTGGAAAGGATGAGGTGAGACTGGAGCTTGGTCACAGACTAGTAGCAGAGTTCACCATCATGGATGTACATTGCCTACTAAAAGCCACTCACTTCTTCATGTCAACGATTGGATCTTAAGCTCACACCAGTAAAGAAAGCACACACACCACAGTGACGTGGCTGGGGAAGCCATGGGCACGCGCCTTGTCATCCCCCCAAAAACCGACCTGATTGATGCTTGGGCGTCCCTGCTTCTTTTTGGAGGTAGTGTCCAGACCCCAGAGAGAAGAAAACCTGCTTCTTCGTTTGCTTGCAGATCTGGACATGGCCTGAGTTCGCCTTCTCACTCCAGTTTCACCAGTGCGTGCTGCCACCTGAGACAGCAAGGAGGAGCGTCAACAAGACAGGAGCATGGGGATCACCGGTCTGTCCCCCCAGACCCCCACTCAAGTTCTTTACAACCCCTCCCCCACCATCCATCCGGCCAGCCGATGCTGACGCTACTGTCTAAGCAACTAATCCATCACTCAAACACACTGGGACTCTGAAGCCCTTGGTGGATTCAGCGATGGTGGGAAGATCAGCCAACTCCCTCAAGGTCTGAAATCACCAGCTCAGATGCATAACAGAGTAACTGGATGTTAACAGGCTATTTCCAAGAAGTGGGCGCCCTACCGGTGACAGGGTTAAGCTCTTGCATCAAGTTACAGTAACCAAAGAAAAATGGAGCTTGAGTGTCACCAAAACAGTGAAAATGGCACCTTTTGGTTCCTGTGATTCTGTGTGAAGTCTCAATTTACCAGTGTCTTCTGTTAGTTTTCTCAGAACAATCCCCCCCAAACCATTTTTATTATCAAGCAAGTGGTGGCTGTTACTGGCTCGGCTAGCCGAGGCCAGTCAGACGGAAGCCTTCCAGGGCAAAGCAAGGCAGAGGGGACCCACGTGGGGGAAAATAGAGAAGCCCCCTTCTGAGGCTTCTATGTGGAGGAAAAGAAGGAATAAACGTTCTACCTTGTTTTGTTTTTTTTCTTTTCTTAAAGGAAGCTAATCTCTGTTGAGCTATTTGCAAGGTGCCATCAATGCTGACAAATACTCCAGAAGGAAAGCTGGGCGAGGCAGTACAGTCTGCCTGGGAGGCAGCTCAGTCTCTGTGGGGATCCCCGAATGCACCCTGAGAACACTCAGCATGAGCCTCACCCTCTAGAACTAGAGGCAAGCTCTGCCTATGTCTCCACAGGCCACCCACAGGCTCACCTTCCTACAAGGGAGTGCCCGAGGGCCAGCGACTGAGCGCTGAATGGAGCTGCCACCTGCCTGGCCACCAGAAAAGGTCAACTCGGCACCGGTCCCCACACGGGCAACTCCCAGGTGCCAGCTGCCAACTGGCAGCCGTCTGGGGCCAAAGCACTGGTGGATGCGAGGACCTGCTCAAAGGTGGCAGCGTGAAGGGTTCTGGGTAATGACAAGATACCATGGAAGCCCTGGGGTGCACTGGCCGAGACCCCCTGGAGTGCACTGGCCGAGGCCCCATGGGTTCACTAAAGACAGGAACCAAGACAGCTTCTCTGACGGAGCATTTGGGGGAAGATCTGGATTCCAGATGGAAACAGGAAGAGGAGGGAGCTGAGAGGTCTAATGCCTTCTCAGCTTTTGCACAGGAGAAAATCTAGAGCAGCACCCGAGACAACAGCAGCCATGCTTTAACCAATCTCCACCAACACCTAAGGTGTGGTGAGGAACAGAGTTGGACAACAAAAGGGGCGTGTTGGCAGTCAACATGCAAACGTGCTCTCTGCTGTCATCACTTTCTTTCATTTTTAAAAATTTATTTATTTATGCATACAGAACTGGGGCACAGGCCAGAGGTGCAGGGGCAGTGAGAGAATTCATCAGATGCAGAGTGGGGAGCAGAACAGGCAGGTTGACTAAACTACACTGCTGAGGGGAGCAGCGGCTCAGGAGAGGTCTGCAGCGCCATGTGGGTAAGCTCCTGGGCGGGGGATCGAACTTGCACTGAAGCAGCTGTGGCCAGCTTGCAGTGCTGTGCTTTAACCTGCTGCGCCCTGTCATCACTTTCTAAGGGCCCTGTCATCACTTTCTAAGTTAGAGGTAGCAAAAGAAACTGTTTGCTAAAAGGAATACTCTGGAATGTGCTGGCATCCATATATGCTCTCGTGGCTAAGTCACGATCAGTGCAACCATCAGCGAAAAATGAGGCTCACCACCATGGAGTAAGCAGTAGTCACGTTAATCCTAGAGAAAAACAATGTCCACTGGGTCTTACACTTACGTCTCTACTTATACACAGGGAAATCTCTCCATAAACACAGACACACACAGGCAGCCAGTGTACAGCGAGATGTGCTTCTGTATGTGAAGATGACGGCGGTGCTAACTCCCTCCGTGCTACTTAGCGTATGTCTTAGCTCTCTCTCCCACAAGAAGAAACTCCCCAGGAGGACAGGAACCCAGGGTGCCCACGGCAAGAGGGACACTGCCAGCCACTCACGTGTATTTGTTGTTCTGACTGAGTAAATAAACAGACAAACATCCAAAAGCAAAAGCAGGCTCCTCCCTCGGCGGGTGATCACAAAGAAAGTGAAACAATTTCAGCACAGACACCTCTCGATGACCAGTCAGCTTAATCTGTTTAGCAAACGGGCACTTGATTTATGATTCTTAGACAATTATTCGAAGCTGTCAGGGACTTGTAAACTGTGAAAGGAACTGCTACGCACCTCAGGACAATCATGACTTCAAGTGAGCGTAGGGGGTTAGAAAAATAGGAAAAGCTGGCCCAGCGCGATGGGACAAAATCTCAAGAGTTTCTCAATGGTCTCTACCCAGACAATGGCTCCCTTTGTGGCTGAAACCTGATGACTCTATCGTTCTGCTCATCTGTGCAAACAAGAACAATGATAACCTTCTTTCAAAGAGTGCAGTGGGGACCCTTCAGTTAATTACTGCAAATCACTGAGCTTTACGGGAAGCCCTCCTGGTGAATGGTGGTTAAACTGTAGCTCCATTCTCCTCCCCTGGCCCTGTTAACCCTCCCACCTCCTCCTCCCCTGTGCCTGCTCCGAGTTCAAAGGAGAAAAAAAAAATTGTCTGCACAAAGGCTAAATTGAAGACTCGTTCACCCCAAGGAGGGGGAAATTCTCTGGGGTCAAATGATAAGGAAAGGAGGGAAAAAATAAGCATCCAATAAATCAGACTAACACTGCCTGCTTGGGTCCTCAGAGGAGCGAGAGCGCTGGACACCCAACGGGCTTGCCTGACTTGTTCTGTCTGAAATCCAATCTCTGGTGCACAGGAGCCCTCATTAGGACACACGATGCCAGGTTTGCATCACCTGCATCACCACTGCACCAGCCAAAAAAGAACAAAGGAATAGTGAGTGGCCCATATGGAATTAAGTTCCCTTCCTTAAAATTACTGACTGAAAAAGCCTAAGAGTCACCAGCCCTCCCAGCCCTGCCTTCAGCTGGCCCAATTTTAATAGCTGGCCATCAAGAGAGAAGTCCGCACACATCACAGATACCGAGGCAGAGGAAATTAGAAGGTCTGGAGAGAAATTACGGGTATAAAATAAAATAAGGGTAATGAGGTGGCTTTTACTTCCCCTTCTCAGAGATGTTCAATCCGATGGCTTTGAAGATAATAATTAAAGCATAGAAGTTTTAGGTAGAAAGCAAAATTATTTTCTCCAAATTTGATCCAGCCCGGTAAAGAGAACGAGGCCTTTGGATGACCAGGTTTTAGGGTTCATATCAATGCCACATCATTGGCATCAAGAGATCCCTTCATAAAAAGGGTCCTTTAATTTATGATATTCTTGCTTAGGGGGAAATAAAACAAGAGTTTTTGATCACAATTTTATTTTTTGAAGAATAGCAAACTGGGACTCAGCTAAGTGACAAATTGGGTTCCGGGCCTCAGAGAAACAGTTCTAGAAACACGAATTAAAACAGTTAGCAAGATGTATGCAACAAGGCACCCTGACCCAGCACTGCTTAAAAAAAAAAAAAAAAAGACTTAATAGCTATAAGGAGACGCAGCCAGGGAGACCAAAAGCAGAGCTATAATTAGCAGAACAAATAAGGATGCCAGTTTTAATAACTCCAGAAATTGGTTTAAGACTTCTTTAAAAATGTAAATCTACCCCTAATTATCTGAATGATGGCGCTAATCTATTTATAAAGAATACAAACGCCTCTGAGAGAATTACAGCTCTGAATTCAAGAGGACAGCTGACCTGGCAAGACAAGAGAGCACAGCGAAGGTTTCCAAAGCACTCTCTGGAGCCGGAGACTTAACATTTAACTCCACAGCAAATGTGCTATGGTGCCGTGCATTTTAAGTGGGGACTGACTTGGTTTAGTTAAATCCATGTCAATCGCCCAGCAATGTTCGAGAAGAAAGTAGCCAAAAGTCCATAAAGCTGTTGCTATGTAGTGAGTACAGGAAATTACAGATTGCAAACACACGACACAAGTACACAACCTGCCATCTTGGCGTCAGAGGGAAATTCTCCTCCCCCAGCAAATCTGTATGTACGTTGAGCTAGTAAATCAGGAAAGTTCTCTGCCTTCCTCTAAGGTATCAGATGTTTCTCGGCGTAAAAAGCTGATGGTATCGAAACATTTACAAATGAAGTGAAAAGGGAGATTTCCAGAGAGTTGTGTGTGCCTGTGTCCTGACAGGGACAGAGAGAATGCGTTCATGCATACGAGGGGCAACGCAAGTATTTGGATTAAACACAGGTCATTCACTGCTACAGGGCAGGAGAGGGGCACCCCAAGACTCCCAAACCTCCTGCCTATGAGTAGGTTCTGCCTGCCATCCACTGCATGAGACAAAACATACTCCAGTGTGTAAGACCTTTCATGGAAAGAAACTTTCATACAATTAGTGTGTTATAAAAAAAAAAAGAGTAAGAAACTGGGCCCTCTGTGGTGGTACAACGGGCTAAAGTGCAGCACTATAAAGCTACTGCAGCCACTGCAGCACGAGTTCGATCCCCGGCCAGGGAGCTGACCTACATGGCGCAGCAGACTGCTCCTGTCCTGCCCACTGCTCCCTTCAGCAGTGTTATGTCAGTACATCTGCCTGTTCTGCTCCCCACTCTGTCTCTGGTGAATCTTCCTACCCCCTGCACCTCTGGTCTGTACCCCAGTTCTGTATGCATAAATAAATCTTTAAAAAAATTTTTTTAAAGGGTAAGAATAGATGAAATCATTTCCAAGTCCAACACCCAAAGCCACCCACCAAATGCCCAGCCAAACAGGGTTGGGCCAAAGCAGGGCCAATGAGGCCCCAATGTCTGTTCACGTCTAAGGCACCTTCTGGTAGGGATTTATAGGGAAGGGGCAGAACTGGGCCCAAAGGAGCTTAAAAAAAAAAAAAATCAAGGTTAATGCTGCATCATTAACCTCCCCACGGTTCTCTCACCCACGACTGTTTCATCCAGTCGGCACTAAGAAGCCAGCTTCTTCCACATCTCTCTGCTCCACATGCCTCCAGATCCCCATCCTTCCTTCTTCCTCCAGTGTCCTCTTCCCTCCTCAGCTACACCCTTCCATGGGTGGTGCAGGGAACATGGACCCTCCTCTTTTTTTTTTTTTTTTAAGATTTATTATTCATGCACACAGAACTGGGATACAGGCCAGAGGCGCAGGGATGATGAGAGGATTCACCAGAGACAGAGTAGGGAGCAGAACAGGCCAACTGACTGAGATACACTGCTGAACGGAGCAGTGGATGAGAAAGGAGAAGTCTGCTGCGCCATGTGAGTCAGCTCCGGGGCCGGGGATTGAACTTGCACTGAAGCAGCTACAGTTTGCATCACTTTAACCCGTACACCACCAGGGAGGGCCCATACACCCTGTTACTAAAAAATGACGTGCCCTGGCAATGAACACTGTTGGAAACATCTTGATCATTTAGACCCCAGCACGGCAAGCTTACGTGATACATTTCCAAAAAGATTCAAATGAAGGTTTGCATCCACTGCAGAGTGCAGATACTGTCACTCACAGACACCCGCTAGAAAACACTGCTCGACTCTCCCCAAGTCTGCTTAGGATTTCCCGGCAGGGTGGTATTTCCCAAAACTCACCCGCTGCTACTCACCAAGGCATGGAAAGATGACACCGAGAAGATTCCAAGGCGGCCCATTGCCACTTTGGTCGGTCGGCTGGCAAAAGCGAGGAGCCTTTTGGGATTCGGCAGCTCCCCGCCTTGGAGGCTAGCTAAGTAACAGCGGTAACGAAACAGGTCCATTTGGAACTGTTCCAGGTTTTGCTCCCAAACAAAGATCTACAGTGGTGAAAAAAGAGGGGGAAAAGTGAGACCAGGAGAAAGCCAGTGTCACGCTATACACAGACACACAAACTGGAAGTAGCAAAGGCATTCGTTCTAATCCTAAGGGGAGAGCAGCAGGTACCCTAAGCTTCTTTGTTGCTCTGGGGGTCCCTCACCCCTAATTCTATGTGAGTGGCCATGTTGGTCCAGAGTTCCAAGTTCTGGATCACAAACCCAAGCAGAAAAAGTAAAACAGGGGGTTCTCAGCACTGGAGAACTGTATGATGTACTGAGAGATGCTTTTCTCGGGAAGACAGAGCAGAAAAATCAGGAAAATTAAAGCTCAAAGGTGAGTAGACCAAGAGCTTGTGGAAGAAGTGGGTGGGTGGGAGTCTGGAGGAGGGGGGCCGCCCTGGACGGTGGAGACCCGGACACCAGAACATGGGGAGACCCATGATATGGCTTCATTTTTCAAAGAGGCAAAACAACCCCCGCCTGCTGAGGTTGGCGTGAGGGCCACACAAGGTAACACAAGAATGCTGTCTGGTACAGGGCTGACAGACAGTGCCTCTCGGGGATGCTGGATGTGGATGACACAGGCAGTGACTAATGGGTGAATCTTTTTACTTCGACTTAAAATAGCGTGTGAGTGTGCGCGTGGGGTGCCCATGCCAGTCTTCACAACACCCCAGAAACAGAAACAGCCCCCTGTCCATTAACCGATGAACGAGAAGCACCGTGTGCTCACACACACCGTGGGTCATCTGTGGTCATCAAAAGGCACGAACTAGGGGCAGGTGCCACAGAGTGGCTCAGTCTCTAAAGCGGGCCAGACACCGACGGCCACACAGCAAGCAGTTCTCTGTGAGGACACAGCGGAAGAGCACCCGCGGGGGGCTCCTGGGAGCCTCCTTCGGGGGTGGAGGCCAATGTTTGGGAGCAGCTAGAGGGGCTGGTTGCGATGGTGCCAGGACTAAGTGCAGTGAATTGCACACTTCAAAATGGTTCATTTTAGGTTACGTGAACGTTGCCTCGACTGAAAATAAAATACAGGGTCAAGCCACAGAGGAAAAGAATCACAGAGACCCAAGTCATTCACAGCTTAATCACTTAAATAGATTTGTTCACATAACGCTGTGTGGGGTGTGTGTGTGTGTGTGTGTGTGTGTGTGTAAGGGGGGAGGGGGAGGAAGGGAACATTTGTATTTCTCTCTGGCATATATCCAGGAGTGTAATTGCTGAATTCTTTATTAGCGAAATTTTCTATCAGTAATTTTTTATACGTATATATTTTCTTTGTACACAAGTACATACTTTCTATAACTATATATTCTATTTCATTGTTCTCTTTTCCTCTATTTTATTTTTCTATAAGGAGATATCTTATGTAAGGCTATAGTCTTCTTTTTTTAATTGCGGGAACGCTGGCTTCCATCATTGCTGGTATTTTGTTCACATGATCATGTCCTACACGTCAGGAAAAAGGTTCAAATCTTTCCTAGATGAGGATCGCTGGCTGTGTATCAACCACGTGTTGTGAGCTCAGGAAAACTTCCCATGTTCGCATGGAAGATGCTTACGCCCACACACACAGGCCATGACAGGGACCCTTTTCCAAATACTTAGAATTCTAAATGTCAGAAGGGGTCAGAGATGCACCCCCACCCCAGTGGAGTTCCAGGTCAACTGAAAAGTGGGGAGTAAGGGGTAGGCGCCATTGTGGGAGCCAGCAACTTCCCCAGCTGACATCAGCCTTTCGTTCATGCGATATTGTCCTTTCAGCTCAGGACAATCACGGCGAACAGAGGGTGAGAAGACTGAGAGGAATTCAGCAGCCTGGATGAGGAGCTGACAGTGAGCAAAGTGATGACATTCTGGGTTCTCAGGCAGCAAAAAACAAAACACATGAAGAGTCACGAGTCCAGCCCCACCTGAACCTGGAAGACCACTCACCTGATCTAGTATTGTTTTCTTCTTCTTTGAATCAGTGACTGAAGACAGCTGCATTTCGCCCATCTTTTTCATCTTCTCGTCCATGTCGATCTTCTGTTCCAGCTTCTTGATTTCTGACTTCAGGAGCCGGAGTGTGTCTTCCTTGTGGTGGTGTCTGGCAACAGCCGCCGCACAAGCCGAGTGGATGGCAGTGATCCAGTTCTCAAGCTCCGTCTGGCTGGTGGTCTGTAAGGGGGAAGGTGGAGAAACAGGCAGCCCTTAAGGCACCAGCCAGGACTCCCAGTACACCACATAGGCACCTGCCCAGGGTCCCCATCTGCTTGCCCTCTGTTTCTATTAAACTCACTCATGACAATGGACTCAATGTGTCCCTCCAAAATTTGCACGTTGGAACCCTAACCGCAAGAGCGGTAATATCAGGAGGTGGGGCCTCCAGGAGGTGATAAGGTCATGAGGGTGGGCGTCACATGAAGGATTAGCACCCATATACAAACAGAGGCCCCACAGGGAGTCAGGAGTGCATCACACCACAACCCAACCATGCTGGCACCTTCCTGATCTTGGAAGAATGAGAGACTAAATCTCTGTCATTCCTCGTCTACTCTGTCTATGGCAGTCTGTGGCAGCAGCATGAACTGAGACACTAGTGTATGCTATAATCATTCACAGACAGCTTGTGATTTAGATAAGAGAGATGGTGGGGAGCAAAAGCCGATGTCCAGAGAGGATGGTCAGTACTGAGGTGAAGGTGAGCCCAAGGGACAGGATGAGTTAAGAAGACACAACAGATGAGTCCTTAGTGAACACCTGTGATCCAAACCAAGGTCAATGCCCGAGGTGGGCAGTGACTACAAGAGCTGGGGGGTGACCCCATGAGATTGGAGGTGCAGCCAGAAAAGACTGTCAAGGGGAAACGAAAGGGAGTTACTGCAAGAGCAGTTCCCTGGTCAGGGGAACATAATAATGGCCTCGAGACTCAGGATGGATGTTGGAGGACACCTGTCACTGGGTGGACAACCATGGGGGTTTGCTGTGACGCAGGTGCTCGAAGGCCAAAGTCAGAGACCAGCCTGGAAGGGCAGCTCATGCATCACAGTGCGCTACTGCTAATTCTATAGGAACTTAGTCCATTACGAAGTGAGGAGGTACCGGATATCCAGGTGTTCCCTTCGGTTCAGAGAAGTTGAGCAAGTGCTCAGAACTTCATCTATCTGAAGACGAAGTATCTGTATTCAGGCATGAAAATGCTAAAGGAGCTGCCAACATCATTTTTTCCAGACGCAGAACACTGATTTGTTTTTACTCTGATGGATCTTCTTGGTTTTCTAACTCATTGGAGTGATAGTTTGCCAACATAATTCTATTATCGGGACCCCCACCCACAAACTACACTGGCAAGTAAAACTTAAGTCAGATCCTCACGGCAGGTGTCTTTATTATTTCTGAATCTCATGAAGAGTGTAGCCCACAAAGAAAACAGCACAACTGTGATAAATGGCGTCTACCAGCAGTGCCAGCACACACTGGGAAGCCTAACCAATCGGCAGTACTTGTGTTTACAACAAAGTAGTTGCCGGTGTCTCCGGAAGAAGTGGATGGCTACACATCCCTACAAAGGAAGAGCGGAAGCACCACCTGAGAAGGCAAATGGAAAAGTAGAGGGAGAAAAGGAGGCAGCAGCACCGAATTCAGACAGATAAATGAACACTTGGGGGCCCTCCCTGGTGGCGCAATGGGCTAAAGCACAGCACTGTGAAGCTAGTTGCAGCCACTTCTGTGTGAGTTCAACCCGCGGCCCGAGAGGTGACCCACATGGCCAGCAGACCTCTCCTGTTCACCCACTGCTCCCCTCAGCAGTGTACTTCATCAATCTGCCTGTTTTGCTGCCCACTTGGGTGAATCTTCTCACCACTCCCTGCACCTCTGGTCTGTACCCCAGTTCTGTATGCATAAATAAATAAATAAATCTTAAAAAAATGAACACGTGGGGGACACCCAGAGGGACATGAGCATGAGATGTATCCTTAACTCACTGTTGCTTCAGATTTTTAATATTTTCATCTCAGCTTTTTACCTGTTATCTTTAGATATCACTTTAATGTGACTCAAGAAGAACAGAGCTGTTGATCCTCCCACATACAATAAGTATCAGCCTAGGACAATGTACAGCGGCTGACCTTGCAGTCTCTGGATATCTCAGCATCAGTGGGTATGCTGTTGGCTGTGGTTATTTATTAGAAAAGCAAGCAGCTCAGATGGAAGAACAATCCAGTGAGAATTTGGTTCTCAAAGAACATCTGGCTAGCTTCCAAGAAGAAAACACCAAGCATTGGCAAAAGATATGGAACAACCAAAACTCTTACATGTGCTGGTGCTCGCTGGAGAGTAAATTGGCAGAACTGCTTTGGAAAGTGGCTGGGCACTGGTCACTAAAAGTGACTACACAGAAGTCTTATAACACTCCCCCCTCCATGCACTCCTGGGTATATACCTACAGAAACTCATTTGTCTGCTTACCAAAATATGGATACCCAAAGTATTCACAGCAACATAACTCGTAATGGGCAAAACTGAAAACGATCCAAACACTTGTCCACAGAATGGATGTGTGATATTATCACACAGTGAAATACTATACAGCAATGAAAACGAAAGGCCAATCACTACACAGTGCATTAGGAATCCATCTCACACGTGACACTGAGGAAAGAAGCCAGACACACACAAGTATTGCCCATAAGATCCATTGATGTAAACTAATATACACTGTTAGGGATCAGACAGGCTTCGGTGTGACTGGGGAGTGGTAGCAACTGGAAGGAAACATGGGATGGGGTGCCCTGGGGTGCTGGCCACATTCTACATGCTGGTTACGTGAATGTATGATTTGGGGTACCCAGCTTGTGAAGCACGTTCCAAATATACACGTTTCTGTGTCTATGTTATACCTCCATAGAAAGTTTTTAAATAGTCCATGATATATTACCTCACAGTTTCATTTTTCTGTGACTTCCCTAAAAGTACTGCACTTCAGACTCTCGTTTTCACTAAGATTTGTTTCTATAAGAAGTCCCAAATACATGTCCCTGCAGCATCTCACTTCCGTCCTTCCAAGTGCCTGGGACATCTGATGAAGAGCTGACAGCCTGTGCCCAGAGGTGCCCAGTGCATATGGGAGATTTGGGCTTTAGGAAGGAGGGTGCTTCCACCTGCTTTGAAAAGAAGACACACTACACACAGTGGCGTGGAAGGCTCAATGCACACAGCAGGCCCAGGAAGGGGTAAACTGCCTGGCACATCACAGCTCAGCACGAGGTCCTACCCATTGCCCTGGGACATGCCTCTCTCATCTCCCCCTCTGCCGGAGCCCTCTTCTCCCACCCACTCCCCAAACTCATGGGGCAAGGGAAGGAAATGCCTACAATCCTGATACACTATCTCAGGAATAGATTGCAAACTTTCAAACTTTTAATCCCTTTGATACAAACTCTGCTAAAGCCAAGTTACAAACTTATCATGTAAAACAACAAAAAATTGGCCCTCCCTGGTGGAGCAGCGGGTTAAAGCACTGCACTAAGAAGCTTAAGCCACTTCTGCATGAGTTCGATCCCTGCCTGCCCCGGAGGTGATCCACATGGCGTGGCAGACCTCTCCTGACCTGCCCGCTGCTCCCCTCAGCAGTGTACTTCGTCCATCTGCCTATTCTGCTCCCCACTCTG